TTTGTTTGACAAATGCATACACTTGTGTAACCACCACCACAATCAAGATATAGAACATTTCTATTACCCTGGAAGGTTCCTTTGTGCCCCTTTTAGTCAACCCCCACCCAGATCCCAGTAACCACTGGTGATTTCTATTACCACAGTTTAGTCTTGCTTATCTAGAAGTTTACATAAATTGAATCATACAGTGCACACTTTTGTGTCTGTCTTCTGTTTCACATAATGATTTTGAGACTAATCCGTGTTTATTCATCTTTATCGCTGAGGAGTGTATCTAGTTCATTGCCTTTTTGCCTACTTGATGCATAAAGTTTTGAAACTGTTTTATCTTATTTGGATTCTGTTCATATCCCCCTGTTGGCAAAAGACATCTGGTCTATAGTTACATGGAGAAAATATATTCAAGTCCCCTGAGTTTTATACCTGCTTATTAGTTGTCTACACTGATAACAAGTGAAAGAACAAGAGAAAAGACAGATGGTTTGTGGAGCTTTGCTGACTTCCTAAATAGCTCCTTGGCAGTTACTCTGGCCTCTGCCTTCCTGTGAGAGCTGGGATGACAGTGCAAGTAGAAATGCCCCTGGTAATTAAGACGACTCTGAAAGAGTGAAGACCAGAAATTCCTGGCCTCTGCAGTGTGATGCACCCATATGGAGATCCTTCATTGAATCTAATCACAGAATTTGCCCTTGTTAAGGACACATGGCCATAGTACAACTTGAACTTTAATGATTAAATATTCAAAGATTTTAAGTAGACTTAAAGAATATAAGTATTTAATAGCTGCTTAAAGGAAAAAATTAGTTAATTTTCAATCATTTGGAGACTAATTACTCAGTTTGTTAGTTTTCTATAATTTAGCCTTTTCTCATTCTTTCTTCTGTTTATCTTTTGACCCCTTTTGGTTGCTTTTTCATTCCTTTTATCAATAGAGGAAACAAGAAGAAATGAAATTCCATTTACTTTTAGTAGTTATTATAAAAGGGCAGGGTGTGTGTGTGTGTGTGTAGGTGGGGGAAACTGAAACTGTTTTCTGAAATAAAAACATATCTTTTACGTGGGAGGAACTGTGTAGCTGTGAAACTTTAGGCAAGTCACTTAATATGTATCTGAACCTTAGTTTCTTCATTAGCTAAGGGGATCAAATGCCTATATATTCATCTCACAGAATTCTTAGCATGATTTATACAAATAATCTACAAAAAGCACTTGTAAATTTTAAAGTCCTATTGAAATATATACATATATTCTATGTTTATGTTTATAACTGTTTTCTTTAAAGAAAGATATTTGATCCCTAGCTATAGAGATACAATAGACATATTCCTGCAATATCATTTGTGACTTTTTGAAAAACCAGCCATTACAAAAAAAATCTGATTGTTAAAAAATGTGCTACATTATAGTAAAAAAAAAAAAAATGTGCTTCTTTGAGAAGGTTTTTTAAAGAAGCCCTATTGTGAACACCTTTGTAAAGCGAGGAACATAGAATTGGGGAGTCATGACTGCCTGGATCTTAGTCCGTATCCTGCAACAGATTGGCTTTTTGATCCAGTCTTATAGGAGCTCTCTTTTTGTCTTGGTTTTCTCATTTAATAATGTGGAAGATAACTCATATTCTGTCATAGGGGTGCTGTGATGTTATTATTATTATTCATTTACCGAAGTGATTTATAACCATTTATCTTAGTTTTTCTGTGAATCTAGATTTCCACGTATTGGGCTTGCTTTATATTGCATGCACTTAAGGCATATATTCAATTTTATTGTAGGAAAGGACTGAGGTATTGTTGTCTTCTACTATAACTACAGTCTTTGCAAAATCATTTCTTAACAGTTTCAAAAGAATAAAGAGTAGCACATTCAGTCTTACAGTTGATGCTATTGTTCCATTAGAGGCCAAATAATAGGAGTGAAGATACAGTGACATCAGTTGCGAAGGCCTGTACATTATTCATTTAACATCTGCTATTGGTTCTTTTTTCCCTGTGGCGGAATAAATTACAACATATCAGCACATTTTTTATGCTTTGTGTTTAAGCATTTAAAAGTCATTTATTGTATTATTAATATTATTTTATTTCTGCTTGTTTGGCAGCCCCTGAAGTTATCAATGCCCATGACTATAGCCAGCAGTGTGACATTTGGAGCATAGGTGTCATAATGTACATTTTGTAAGTA